AACGGCCAAGTTCTACCTGGTGCGGATATATGGAAGGAGTCTGTTCTAGACTCCATTTGTCTTTTGCCGAAGCTCAGATTCTGGCACAAGATCGGGAACGTTGGAAGCTCTGTCTGACGTGTCTGCCTCCGCGACCCGAAAGGAGAAGAGGCGATGGAAGATGAAGATTATGTGCCTTTTGGCAGGATAGTTCTACTAAGAATAAAGAATTTTGCAAAAATTGTTCCCGCCTACCTTCGATATATTCGTGCTTTTCGGAATTTTTCGTCTTAGAGTAATAGACTCAGAGTATTACAATATGAATTCGCTGACAACAGACGACGAATTAAATTTTTGACAGATAGACTCTCAATTTTGAACATTTTGAAAGTATATTCTTTAACACTTTAAAACCAAGTTGCGATATATGGTTGAATGAAAGTTGATGTATTGTAGGATTCTTTTGTCCATGAGTACCGTGTTTCACGATCTCCCTAAGAGCAGTGAAGTGGTAGATGAAATGCTGTTGCTGTTTACTTTGGCGAAACATCACCCAGCTTTTGGATTCGATCAGCGCATTGCCTTGATGAACCTCTACTCCCGAGTGGTGCAGTTCTTATTATCCTCTGTGTATGCGCTGGAGGCTGGCCACATCACTACCGCGGCTAAGGTAAGTTTACTTCTTGTGGTATGTTGTTTTCGTATGCATTAACAGATTTCACTAGATCGAACTCGAATCAGTGTCATCAAGCAGCGTCTTAGAGGATGCAGTTGATGTCGCGTCTTCACCTTCGGTTCGCAGTTTCGTTGACAGCGCCGTACAGACCGACATCACGTTGAAAGATAACGTGTTCGGTGGACAAGCGCATACTCGATCAAGTAATTTCAAGTTGAAATTTGATTGCTTTAATTTTGGTCATTCTCTTAAGCTTTTTTCCAATGAAGTACAGAGGACTTCTTATCGGAACTGTCGTTCATAGCCGGTCAGTCAGTTTCGATAGCCGCCTATCCCTTTGGGTTGCCGAGACAACAGCCTCAGACGGTATCTGCATTGTATCCTGAATCAGCGCTTGAGATTCGGCAGAAGATAACTCGCGTCGAATTACCTACCCCAGATCATTCTTGGCCTTTCCCGGGGTTTTCATTCGGTGGTTTGAGCAAACTTTAGCTGCTTCACCTTCCTTTTAGGAAGCATTCGCGAAACTTGCCAAAACTTTTGCATTTAGGACTTCTCAATCTGGAGTGGTAGCCGTTGTATTCTGAAGCTTTCTGGGATATCTGAACTTAGTACTCTGTGAAGCGCTTGAGCAGCAAATCGTCTAAAAAAACCATTTCAGTATCTTATACCCTTTACCGCGAATTTTTCAGTTATGACCCACGACTAATAACCGTGTGTGAGCATGGTAATGAAAATCTACCTCAACAGAGACAACCTCGTTTTCAGATTCGGCTACGCCTTAGTTAACAATGATTTAAGGCAGTTAAGACAGAGCGCCTTTGGAAATCCCAATTCGCTCGTAAATCTGTTTCTCTCATTCCTCATCAATCGTTTCTCTCACCTCTCAACTCTTCTCCTCGATCTGTTCCTCTCAGTGCTAATCGACACGACCCCAAAGTACGTTAAGTTATCCACTGTTTCACTTCTCCTCCGTTTATCTGCAGAACGCAATAGGCAGGTCATCAAGAAAGCTCTAAAGCTTTGGTTTTAGAAACGAATGCCACGACGTTTCTCTCGGCTCTGAGTTGATTCGGCAGCACGCTGTAGATCAGTTTCTAAATTTGCCGACAAAACAAAATCGTATGTAAGCAGCAGCCTTCTCCTCTCTAGAAAATATACGGCGATACACTCGTCACCCTTGGCTTGCCTGACCATCCTATCCTTGTACAACACAAACTGGTAAGAGAACAGAACACAGCCTTGGCCGAAACCAGTACTATCACTGGAAGATCTCGACTTCGCAGCGTCATTTACTGTAAAGCAGCATCTGCTATCAACATATAGTGATTGAATGGCTCGTGGAAACTTGCCATCGATTCAATGTTTTTATACGCGCCCATAGCTTGTTGCCTGAAATCTCGGTCTGTGCCTTCTCCAGGTCTATATAGCGCATGTAAACCGAGTGGGCGAACTAAGATGGTTCCTCAACGATCTAACGTATGACGAAGATTTGGTCGAAAGTTCTTTGGTCTGGGCTAAGGGCATACTGCTTTTCTTGAGTCGTTGATCTGGCTCTTCAGCGTACCCTCCCCAACACCAATTCGTAGATTTTTCCCACGATGCTCAGTAGCATAATACTTAAAGAATTGGAGCATTCCTTATAATCCCTTGAAGCGCTTTCTTTTTGAACAGGGATTGTAAGAGCCCCGTTTTGTTGTCTACCGCTGCCTTTCTCGTTCATTGTTTTATGCCTACGTCTCCCAGCTTTACAGATATGTGTTAACCGCAGTATTCCTTGTTTGCTTAAAGATTTGAACATCTCAGGCGGATTTCATGAGTTCTAGCAGCGTTGCCACTTCTAAAACTTTTTACATTTTCTGTGACTTTATCACTAATACCTGTCCCCTGGTATTTTTTGGGCGAGTGTCCCTGTGTCCTTCTATGGTTGAGAAGTTTCTCAAAACGTTTTTCCCATCGCCTAAGTGTATCCTCTTCCTTGGTAAGCTGTTATGCAGTCTTTGCCCCTCCGGCAGCTATTTTAACATCATTATCTTTATTTGCGTTTACCAACATGTTGGGGAATGATCGATCTAACTGTTGTTATATATGTGTGATGCCATGTGCTATATTGTAATGACTATTATTTGAAACACTGTTGTTTTAGATTATATTGTTGATGTAAAAGTTGAAAGTGTCCGCGAAACTGAGAACCATGCCTTGGAGTTTTCCCTTAAGGTAATATTTGATTAACCATTTATTCGCCTCTCCTTCGAGAAAATGTTAACTGAATTAAGAACTGCTTTTTCTTCTGTTGCTTTTTCTTTGCCCGTTGTAACTGCTATTGCAATTGAAGATGTTCTGGTCAGATGGACACTCGCAAACTGTTACTAAAACCGATTTGGAACTTTTCACTTTTCACCGGAAGGTAAGCGCCAGGTGTGCCTGTTTTTCGACTTTGTTGACTTTGTTTTATTTTCCTTTAGCTACTAGAAGTTTATCCAGAAATGGCTGGATTTGGTAACGTACGCCGAGTAATTCCCTATTTTCCCGGTATTTCACTTTTGTTCTCATTTGATAACCAGTACCTCATTTAAAAGTGAGCAGTTATGTACATTAGGTTCTGCCCTGATATGAGAACGTCTCTCTTTGTGGGTGCCCCGCTTGCTGCTCAGAAGTGTTTCCATCAGTAGGCAAGATAATGATTTATGGGCAAGCTTAGAATTCCCTATTAATTAATGTTCTTAAACCGATGTCTTTAATGATGTTTCGTTTAACACGAAGGTGCCTGAAATCTGCGATTATAGTTGAATAATACTCCTTAGTAATCACAGACAAAATGAGTTGTGGAATTTTGCTAGGAAACGGAGGTTACTGTTAAACTAATATTGTCCATCGCCTGAGTCACAAGGAAATGAGACAGGAAAGTAGCATATATTGAACAATATGCAGTTTGAAAACAATAAAATAATTGGCAGCTTTAAGTCATAATACAACAGAACAGCATCACACGATAGAAGTGGGACAAGATACCGAAGGAAGGCAGTCTAACAAATACCATTCCTATCTATATCAGACGAGTTGTTTAGCAGTTACATACTCTAGTTTGTTGGTCTTAGATCAGTGACGGTTCATTTATCACATGCTTAATTTTGTTTTTTCTAGATCCATGATAGACGGTCTTTTTCAAGTTCATTATGACTGGATATGGAAAAAGGAATGGAAAATTTATAGCTGCCTGAATGTTTTCTATTTATATTTAGCGATTTGCGCTATTATTTTTATTTTTCTTTCACATTATGGCCCTAGAATTACTTCGGTGCAGAAGGAATGTCTTCCATTCGTCAGCTTCTTTTTATTTACTCTGCTCGCCTGTCGTAGGAACCCCGCTGATTACCTTGTCAAGTGGTTTCTTTTTTATGACCAATGGTCTGGCAGTGGATTGAGAACTCAGTGTTGTCCTTAGAGAAGATATCATTGCAAATGTTTTCTTACCTGATGCACTGCGTAGTCCTTAGCCTCCAGAAACTAATAAATTAGCTTCGGACAGCGTGTCTTTACTTGCTTTCACAGATTGTGATTGCGCCCACCTGCGACGCGAATTAATTAATATTTTTTAGCATATCCGTTGCGTACGTCGGAAAGCTCCAAAGATGTTCTACCTCAAATTTCTCATTATATTGAGTAAGTGATTTTAACCTATATCTTGTTATCTCTAGTCTAGTATTTCTTTTTTTCTATTTGCGACCAGATTCCTTTACACCGTTACTGTATCTTATATTCTGTATGACGCTGTTTTGCTTGCCAGTTCCAAAGTTAAAGTTATTAAGTGTTATACTAGTAGTTGCCATGTGGATTAACTTTATGGCAAAAGGTAGTTTCTTATAATGCCGCCCAGTTATGTATAATCTCATTTGATTATGCCAATGACAAAGCTTAATTTGAACCGATAATGGTTCTTGTTTAAGTCAACATCCAGTGATTCTGTTTCTTTCGTCACTTTACCTGTAACTTGATTTTCATGGAAATGAAGGATATGCCGAATAATTATGTCACAAGAATACTCAGTGATCTGACGATATTATCATCATCACCATCATCTTCCATCGCCGCTTCTCC